CATGCTTCCTTGTCTACTGGGCCATTAATGCACAGTGGGTCCAAACATTCACCTAACCACTAAAAAAAAAAGAAAAGATGACACAAACAGTTTAACACAAACCCTCTTCGCTTAGCCTCTTTTTCTTCTGTGCTCCTTCCCTTGCTTTTCTTGCATTCCCCCTAGCACCCAATACTATATTATATAAACGAATCACCCCCTCCTTTTCTTTCTTCTAAATAAAATTTCATCTTTTCATTTTTTGTCCCTTTATAATTATCACTCCATCCCATGTAAGCCCATCCCAAAAAAAGCTTTCCTCAGGCTTTTCAACTTTCTGCTCCCAACATCATCTCTACTTGGAGAAGCATCCGAATTCTTTTTGAGTTTTGAGTTTGACTCAATCTACTTTTATCCCTCCTTTCTCTCCTCTTCTCCCAAATCTGATGCACCTGATTCTGCATTGAATTGCCCATGTTTCTTGCTCTTCCCACTTCACTCTCCTCGGAAGTCAGCCATACATCTCAGCTTCATCTTTTTCACTCCCTAGTTTCTATACGCTCATCAGAGACTCTCACATAATGGGTTTATGCAGGAGGCATCTAATACCAGTTCTGTATCTGCTCTTGTTCATCTGCATATTTGGTCATTGTCATGGCTCAAGAAACATAAGCGTCTTCAAGGTCAAGCCAAAGCCTGAGCACTCCGGTCACTTTTTTGGATTTTTGCCGAGAAGGCTGCCCGTACCTTACTCTTCTCCTTCAAGGAAACACAATGACATTGGCTTAAGAAGCTGGAGATCACCGTAAACTTACAGTTGCAGAGTGGCGACTTCAGTGATTTTACTTTTCTTTCCTAAAGAAACAAGGGAATTAACCAAGGTATATGGAGCTAGCTAGCAGCAAAAGGTTAATTCAGTGTTGGTAGTATGTTTGTTATTGATCCTGTTCTTTTGCTGCAGGGGATGTAGTAATGGGTATGATCGGTTAGCTTTCTCTCTTTTTTTTTTTTACTGAAAGGGTGAAATGGATATGTTTAATCTGTAATTTTCTTTTCTTTTCTTTTCTGTTTTCCTTTTTTGTTTTTGGAGTGTGAATCTCAACATAGACAGTGTTAATAGCTTGACAGAATCTCAGGTTATCAGGTTCTAAACATGCTTCTGATGTATATGCGATGAAAAGAAATTCCAGTGATGCATAGAGTAGTAAACATGCACGTTTGGTATATCTGTATTTCTTCTGTTCTTTTATTTGTAATCTCAGTATCAAGCTTTCGTTTTTGGGGAAAAACAGCCAAGTAAACAATAAGATTAAAGCTCATGTACGTGCAAAATCAGCGTATCCTTAACATGATGTTCAAGTGAAATTCGCTCTCTTGACGCTAATTTAGCAAGAAAATTCAATTTACAGATTAATCATGGGATTAGTAAGTAGTCAACTTAGCAGGTGCTTGGAAAAGTGGAGAGAGCAGAGAATGTGGTTGATATATGAGTAAAGACTGGCACTAGATCAGGAAACCTACCTCCTTTGAAATTGCTTGCAGAGAAGAAAGAGTCTTTGAGCCATTGAATTCGTAAGCTGATCTCATTCTCTACATGAGAGGTTGCGTGTTATGCTACTTTCTTGATCTAAATAATTAGCTATAAAATATTTCATAATTAAAAAATATAAAATATTTTTAATTAAATTTTATCCTTAATAAAATAGTTATTTATTTTTAAATTAATTTAATTTTTTTATATTTATCTCTATTAAACACCTTATAATAAATATAAAATTATTATCAATAGGATATTTTAAAAAAATATAATTATTATATCTTAAAAGATTAAAAATGTTTTATATTTTTTAGTATTTAACTTTTTAGAAAATATCTTATATTTTTAAATAAAAATAATAATACTTAACTTTATGTTTAGCTTACTGAATCCGACTTTTCCCATTCATACTAGATTTAGCTTGGATTTGTTTTATCAAATATCCAACATAATTATATTTTTAAATATATTATATATATAAAAATTATAAATTGAAATTCAAATGAGAACAATTTAGCTTAAGTTTTTGACATTTATATTCTTTGGAGAGAAAATAACTTTTATTCTATTTTGATGAGAAAAGAAAGGTAAAAGGAAGGATATGTAGGAGAGAAAATAAGGCACATGCCACATTTTTTTTTCTCAAATTTTCTCATATTTTTCTTTCAAATTTTCTCTTCACGTATGGAGAGTTTTTGGGAAAAAATCGATTCTTCCGTGCCTGCCCCTGCTTTCCCGCATGTTGTTGGTCTTGGTCTTCGCAACACGAACAGCTTTTAACTCAAATGAAACTTTATTCTGTACCACCTTCACTTAGGAAACTTTGTTAGAATATTTCATTTATAGATTTGTTTTTTTTATGAGTCTCTTCTAGTCTCCGGCACCATAAAATTATTAGCCTGCAATTTTGTTATAATATTCTTATTATAAAAAGAGATGAGAGTAAGTCTACAACACTGTTATCAAGTATAAAGATATTGTATTCATGGAATGAGAGCATAAAAAATTATTATTAAGTATAAAAATCTAAATTCTGAATAGTACCTTGAACTTAACAAAAAAAAAAGCTGTTATTGTATTAATTTAAAAAAAATTACTCCCTCTATTTAAAAATGTAAGGTATTTTTTGAAAAGTTAAATATTAAAAAATGTAAGGTATTTTTAATATTTCAAGATGTAATCATTGCCTTCTTTTTAAATGTGCCCCTGTTGATAATAACTTTACATTTATTGTAGGTATTTTATAAGGATAAATATGAAAAGATAGTGTTAGTTAAAGGTAGGTAACTATTTTATCAAAAGTAAGATTTGGTTAAAAATATCTTACATTTTTTAATGAAGAGAGTACATACTTTTAATTTTTTAAAATAGGAAAATAACAATGTTTACAAAATTATTTGATATTAAATTATAATAACATAAAAATACATTATTTATCAAGTAATTTTATTTTAAATTATTTTGGTTATGTTAATTTTAATATAATTTTTTCAACGTATTTTATAAATAAAATTTTATGAAATATGATATATTTTAATATGAGGTATTGTTGTCTTTATAATGTTTGCTCATTTTCTTTTCTCTTTATTTTTTTTATATTTTCAAACACAAAAAATAATAATATTTTTTTTAACTTTCTCTTCTCTTCATTTTTTTTTCTCATTTTCTTTTCTTTCAACTTTTGTTCTCATCTAAATGGAGAGTTGGGCATATATGTACTAACTATTACTATTTTTTAAAAACTTCAAAGTGCGGAGAGAGGAGTGGCAAAAATAAAAAATAAAAATTGAACCACTGTTTTTGGTGTGACAAAAAGAGCAAGACGCAATCTGAAAAAAATAATAAATAAATAAATATATATATATATATATATATTATTCTCCCAGTTGTTAACCATTTTCGTTCCCCCAAACATGGCGTCTAGCATAACATTTCAAGGACAAGCTTAACATTAAAAATGGTTCCCTAGTCAAAACCATGATATATAATAGAAGATACATTGCAATCACATTAAGCAGCTTCCAGCACTGCCCCACCCAGAATTGATAATCAAAGAGTAATACCAGCAACGGGGCTGGAGGATACCTTTTCTTTTTAAAATTTCAAAGGGAAGTTCCCCCTAATTACTTTACATATGATGCAGAAATAATGCCTCCGGAATCTTTGAAATCCAGTTCTGGGAAATGAAAATACTCTAAACTTGTTCTGATTTGTGCTCTAATTTTTAGCACTGTATGAATCATTCTCGTTCAAATTTCACTTGAAGGTCTTTGAAAAGAAAATTTTGTTGATGCCGGAGGACCAGGCAGAAGATTCCCCCGAGGCCAAAAAGTTGCAGTGTGGCATAAATAGAGGGCTGAAAAGTTTCTCAGAGACTTTATTTAGGGAATTATGAAATGGAGTTGAATGGCGTTGCTGCTTCACTTTGGAGAAGAGATGCATGACTCCCAACTCTGCTTTATTTAAAATGATGGCAATCATGGCTTCCCAAACCTAAGACGCATGCTTTCCCCACGTTTGTCGTTTAAAGAAGGTGAATAAATGTGCATTCAATTGCTGTTATATTATTTCTTGAGTTGAGCATCTTTAATCTTTTTCTCAAGGGGGATGGTGTTATATTCTTATCTCACCCACCCATGATTATCGTTAGGAAACGAATTTGTTACTGTAATCCTTATTTTCGGAATCAGAAAGGAAGTTTCCATCTCATGAATGGAATGGAATTTTTGATGGGATTTTTGAACCCGTGTCTGAGATTTATTTATTTCAATTTAAAATTCAGTGACATAAAATTTAAGTCCTGCTTCATGTTATCTAGTTTGGGCTTTAACGAGGAGTAAAGTGTTGTAGGCCCATCAATGGATGGAGAGGACATTTGGGGGGAAGACATGTTTCAATATGATAAAAAGGTTTGAATAATGAGAATGATCACACTTTCGGTAAGTGAATCGGTGACTCCCCACGTAAAGAAGCTTATGTTGAGATAATCACAGTGCATTTGACACAAATGCAATGATTTCAACACCTTATTGGGTTATATTCTTTGCACGATTTGCAACTGTATGGCTCTTTTCACCGTTTTACCCACCCTACAAAACTGGGCAAATGATTGCTCATCTATCTACACGGACAAAAGTGAAAGTAAATTTGATTTGTTTGGGTGAATGTATTATCGGTGGTACACAGTCAATACGTTACAGCTGCCAAACTTGTACAGGTTTTTTTATAATTAGAGAGAAATTCTTACGTTTTACAAGCCATCACATCTCTGAAATGTATGTCGGAAGCGCATCATATTTGCCATTTTGTCAATTGATATTTGTGCTCCAATACATGCTACCATTTGGCCTCTGAAAATAAAAATGCTGCCTCAAAAATACTGAAAGAAAACTCTTGTTAGAAGCTTAAAAATCGTGTAGTTATCTATGACCAACAGCTGATCGATCTGCATTCATTATAATTTAAGAGATATGGGCTTTATTTATAGACATGTTTTTTCAGCGAAATGCTTAACTCGAGCACCCGAGGATTTCCTTACAAGATACAATTGACATGCAGTAACCGGAAAAGATCCATATAAATGGCTCCAAAAATTTGTCATAGAACTACGACGCCTCCTATGCAAACCAATAAAATGAGCAACGAAATCAATCGTTCTTGCAGCATGGTTTCACCCTGCAGCACTTATTTTCTTTGGTTGAGAGATGAACAATGCTCTCTCTAATATGCTTCTGACTTGAAACGGCTCGTAATGTTGATGACCAAGAACTATAAAATGTTTCCGCAGATTCGGCAGAGAAACCATTATCGCTAATGTCAAGCCATTGCAACTGTTTTGCCATAGCCATAGCAGTTGAAAGTTGCGGAATGAATTTGCACTCAGGGGATGGAGAATTTCTTTGATCCGAATTAGCACCACTGTCATCAATTCCATTAGCATCCGAATTAACCGGACCATCTTCACTGTCAACAACTTCAGGCATATGATAGTCAGTGTTAAGAACGCAAAGGGGCTCTTCACTATCTTCCACTATCATGGGTAAATTCTCCTCACGAGTCCTACAAATTGTGAGCGTCCTTCAGTTGAGAAGTCGAGTTGTAGAGTTTGAAGTTCATTTGGAACGGCATTAACAGCAAGATTAAGCTCCTCTATGTAGTTGTTCTCTAACACAGACAAACTAAGCATCAAACAGATATAGTTTCACAAGAATGAACTAACCCAGATATGTTCTCTTGGCGTATTGTCTACCTGCTAGCGCCTTCGTCATGCGAAGTATCCCGGCAAGCCCAAGTTGACACTTTCTAAGGTCCAAAACTTTTAGGCAGCACTGTGGTTTCATGAGAAGAGAAGCAAGAGAATTGCTTCCCTGTATTTATTATAGATGTCAGAACTTGCTACGCACACATGCCAATAAAATTCAACTGGTAAAGAAATTGTAAGAGCACCTACATTCTAAAATGCCGAAAGTCAGAGCGATATATGATAATATGCAAACAAAACCGGACAAATAAAAGTGCATGCTAGGAATACTAGTAATATAAATCCCTAGCTACAGGCAACAAGCCTCTGGCTTAATAGAATTTCCTTCCAGATTAAGCTCAAGCACGGAACAGAATAAATTAAAACTGGAGTTTGCAACAAAATTAAATATGACTTGACAATCTGATAGATCAAGTTTCACAAGCTCGAGTCCCTCTGGACAATGATTCTGCTAATTGTATTGCCCCTTCCTGCAAAAAAAATCCCTCTCCAAACAAAATTAGATATGCATGCTGGCGTTTGCAGGTATCGAGTATATCAATAACCAACAAAGACACGAGCAAACAGCAAGAAATCAATTCCACTCACAGTTCCAACACCCGTGCTTCCGAGCATCGGTCCTGACAAATTTGTATTCCCAGCAAGCTTGCACAAGGAATCAACAGCTGGTTTGCCCAGTTTTAGACCACTCAAATTTCAGCTCAGAAAACCTTTAGTGAACAAATGCAATTTAATTTGATTTATTTCTGTATATCAAAATAATGCAATTTTAAAAAAATGCTACCTAGGTTGTACCGTGCATCTAAATCTAATTTGATCTACCTTTTCATTGTAGAAAGCTTGTCGAGAAGATTAACTAGCATTTCCAGCTACAGGACTATTGTATGCTGTCAAAGATGGACTTGCCATTAAACAAAATAGCTTATCTCGGGAATTCGGAAATACATGTTAGATTCATGATATACCTATACAAAGCTGAGCAAGTGCAGAGTTAGAGTCCAATGCATCACCAATCTTCTGGATAGTTCTGGTCGTGATATGACAGTTCTCCACATTCAAGCTACAGAGAGCTACAAATAACAAATCAGAACACACGCAAATAGAAGTACAAGTTTCTACCGCATGCATAATCGAGACCGTAAGGGAAATTGTCAGAAGCATATGCTCGACGCAGACTTTTCCGTAGTTCATAATGAATTGGCCATAACCAAGTGAAGTAAATGTTTCCGAGAATTTTGAGACTACGAAAACCTTATTAAAATGGATGGAGTAGGTGATGCAGCTAACCTGTACACTAATATTGTTGAAAGATAACACCCACATGCATCAGTAAGACGGTTCCCATTTCCCAGAAATGTTCAGCACTTCCAGTCGAGCAAATAGTGCAGGCCATTCACAAATCTGATAGCACTAGGACAAACTTAATGCATTAGCAAATTGGATTGGCTTTGCGGGTTAAGGCAATTGGAGTTGTAGCCAACCCTTCTGTCTACATCCAAATTGTAAATCTGGAGAATGAGTCAAATCAACTTAATCGATTTTAAAATAATTAAAAAAGAACATTTATGAAGCCTTAATCACTAAATCAAAATCGGGTCTAAGCCATTATTTCCATCCTCCACTCATGGGGAGTGATCGTGATGGAGGAAGTACTTTTTAAATTTAAAGAAAGTGACAATTATGGGGCTTAGGCACTAAGTTAAAATCATCTATAAATAGAAGAGTCCTCTCTTAACAAGAATCATCATCAACATCAATAAACTACCACTCTAATTCCCAAATTCTAGGTCTATTACTTTATTTTATTTTTTCTTTTATCATATAGTTTTAATCTTTATTTTTTTGTTATACTGTCGGCATAGCTCGCCACCTTTTTCTTTAATTAATATATTTTACTTTTTTACATCTACATTAATTTTTTTTACTTTACATTATCACATTCGAGTAAACTGTGGTAAAGCAGCCGAGGTTCCCCACATTTAATTAAAAGTCAAGTTTTTCTATCTTTTTAAAACTTTGAGTCTTTGGCATACTTCACGACATCCCTTTTTGTATTTGCTGGACACATTTTTTTGACTAGACACCAGAGATTAATCAAGAATTTCGTTCATTGGAATATTCTTGCGTTATTCTGCTTTGAAAATGACTACGATGGCCTTATTTTGGGAGCAAGGCAGTTGGAGGCCGCTGATATTCCATTTATTTCTAGATTGAAGACGTCCGTATTCAAATTCTTTTCACACATCACTAAACTCAAATGCATGCCTATCTACTGGAAAAAAGATAAAGCCATTTTCTGTTTAGAACTTCATATCTCAAATCTCACTAGGGTTCGTGCTAGACACTAAATAGTGCGAGCCAAAGAAACGTGTGAAGGTCGAAACGTTTGCAAGTAACCTACCTGAAATAAAGCAGTGGGGCCGAACTTGTTGCAATGTAACTCTAAAGTCAACCCCCCATAAGTTTGTCCTGATTGAGTGAGCACCTTTTGAAGTTTCTCCATCGTCCCATTTCCTGAGATGTAGCAATTCAATGTAAATATTAAAATAAAAAATCAATCAATTGCACTCATTGTAGTGTTTTTTTTCCCTTCTGCCAACAATGAACTATTACATTTCTGCACAAAATACAAATGAAGACAATAGAGCAGTAACTAACGAAAAAAGGCTTACAATCCAGTAAGATGTACCTAAGAAATTATGGGAGAGGTCAAGCATTGCAAATGTTTTGTGCGAAAGCAATGCATTTAACAATGGTGTCACTGACAAATCTTGCAAGTCACAGTCAGGCACAATGATCTCATCACCCAACACCTGATTGACAAAACAATAAGAAGCCATAATTAATTACAGGAAAAAAATCCAATCCAACCTCGAAAATAAAAAATGAATATTGTTTGTTCTTGTGAATGAGAGCGTTAATACAGCTTAGTTTCCTCCTTTACCTCCAAATTGTAAAGCTTCTTCAGAATCTTCATGTTTGCTACCTCAGATAACTCCTTGCAGCTATCCATGTACATTTTTATAAGAGGCTTTTCAACCCATCATGTGAAAGATTAAAATTAATTGTTTCTCTCAAGATTTACAATGCAAAAATGGCATTCAATGTTAATGTAGATCCTACAAAAATAGACACCTGATCTATTTGAAGATTCGTTCACATGCATTTACAAAAGTGGAGCCTCAAGGTCACAGATTGATTTTCTTTTGGTCAGGAACACAGATAGAAGACTTTGTAAAAATTGTAAGGTGATCCCTGGAGATGCTATAACGACACAACATAGGTCCTAGTCCTTGATGTGTGTATTATGAGTAAAATTCAAAAACGTCGACAAGTAGTAGCACCAATGATTAGGTGGTGGCAATTAAAAGGTGAGAAGCAAGATATTTTCAAGCGAAATCTTTTGGATAAAGGAATTTGGGAATCTCAGGGAAGTGCTAATATCACGTGAGAGGATATGGCTAAAAAGATACGTGAGGTTGCAAAAGTAGTTTTGGGAGAATCAAAAGGTTCTGATCCGAGAGATAAGAAGTCTTGGTGGTGGAATAATAGTGTACAGGACAAAATCAAGTATAAGAAGAACTGTTTTAAAGCCATACATTTGTGTAACAATGAGGAAAATTGGGAGAGGTACCGTATGGCTAAGAAGGAAACTAAGAGAGCTGTGGGTGAAGCTTGTTCTAAAGCTTTTGAAGAATTTTATAAAAGCCTTGAGACGAAGGAAGGAGAGCGAAATATTTATAAGATTGCTAATAGTAGGAAAAGAAAATCAAGAGATCTAGAACAGGTAAGGTGTATTAAGGATGAAGAGGGAAGAACTTTAGTTACAGATGATGAAATTAAAAATAGATGGAAGACTTACTTTTCTAAACTTTTCAATGATGGAGAGGGTTCATCTAGTAACTTGGAGAATTTAGTAACTGGTGAAGGAGAATAAAATTTGTCATTCTATTGAATAATACGTGATAAGGAGGTAAAGGAAGCTCTTAAGAAAATGACAAATGGTAGAGCCAACGAACCTAATTGTATATCTATCGAAATGTGAAAATGTTTAGGTGAAGAAGGGGTGAGATGGTTAACTAAGTTATTTAATGTGATTTTACGGTCCAAGAAAATACTTGATGAGTGGAGGAGAAGTACATTAATTCCTATTTATAAAAATAAAGGAGATATTCAGAATTATACTAACTATAGAGGGATTAAGCTCATGAGCCACACAATGAAATTGTGGGAGAAAGTAATTGAGCACAGGTTAAGATTGGAGACAAGTATTTTTGAGAATCAGTTTGGTTTTATGCCAGGTAGATCAACTACAGAAGCGATTTATCTACTAAGAGGATTAATGAAAAAGTATCGTTGTAAAGATAAAGATCTACACATAGTGTTTATTGATTTAGAAAAAGCTTATGACCGTATACCAAGAGAAGTGCTTTGGAAAGCGTTAGAAAAAAGGGAGTACGGATTGCTTATATTAAAGCCATACAAGATATGTATGAGGGGGTAAAAACTAGTATAAGAACGCCTAGTGGTCAAACAAAGGATTTTCCTATAAAGATTGGACTACATCAGGGATCATCTCTGAGTCCTTATTTGTTCAACTTGATCTTAAATGTTTTGACGGAACATATTCAAGGGGAAATTCTGAAATGTATGCTCTTCGCGGATGATATAGTTCTTATTGCAGAGACAAGAGAAGAGGTTAATTGCAAACTTGAGTTATGGAGGAGGACATTGGAGTCGAAAGGTTTTCGTCTGAGTAGAAGTAAGATGGAATATTTATATTGTAAATTTGGTAAAGGACTATTCGACAATAATTTGGAAGTGAAATTGGGAGATCAAATTATACCTCAAGTGAAAAAGTTTAGATATTTGGGAGCTATTATTCAAAATGATGGCGAAATTAGTAGAGATATTTCACATAGAATTCAAGTCGGGTGGTTTAATTGGAGAAAAGCTAAAGGAGTTATTTGCGACCGTAAGGTGTCTAATAAACTTAAAGGAAAGTTTTATCGCACTGCTATCAGACCGGTAATGTTATATAGTAATGAATGCTGGGCTCTAACGGGACAACAAGAGCATAAAGTTGGAGTAGCAGAGATGAGAATGTTACGATGGATGTGCGAACATACACGTAAAGATAAAATTCGAAATGAGCACGTACGCGAAAAAGTGAGGGTGGCACCTGTTGAGAAAAAAATGGTAGAAAATCAGTTGAGATGGTTTGGACATGTACAAAGAAGACCAAGGGAGGCACCAGTGAGAAGAGTAAAACATATAACTTTGAGTTCGATTAAGAGAGGTAGAGGAAGGCCTAAGAGAACACTTTTGGAAGTTATTGAACGCGATCTGTTAATTAATAATATTCCTAAAAGCTTGATAAATGATAGAGCATAATGGTGTCTTGCAATCCATGTATCCGACCCCACCTAATGGGATAAAGGCTTGTTGTTGTGTTCACATGCACTTCTCATATCAATCCTCACATAAAGTGCAAGATCAGTGCTTTTTTTTTTTTTGTCAAAAGATCAGTGCATATTAAATGACAATGAGCTAGATAAAGTTAATCCACCGATAGTTATAGTATTTCAATCGGCTTCATGATTCAAGAATTCGTTTGCATCACATTTGTGTCAAACTGCAGGAGAGAACAACCTATGGCAGTTCTTTACGATTTTTTATTTTATTTTCCCGCGTGTGTGAATTTGAGGACATGGTTGAATGATTCAATGATTCCATAGTAACTCTGTCAAATGACAATGTCACTAAAATGACAATGAACACTGGTGTACTCTGAAGTTCGAATCTTTCTACGATTCGAATTCACTTAGCTGCAGGGTTCCATTCCATAACAAATCTATACCGTTCAACATGTGCTTTTCCCTTATTATTTTCAGCGACCTATACTAGCATTAGTACACACGGGGAAAAGGCAGGAAATAAGAAAGATGCATATTTGCCATGAAAACTTGTAGCACCAGCAACAGCAATCAGCAATGTATTCGTACGAGAAACGTGTGAAGCTCAGCAGTCATTAAATTAAACTATTCTGCCTCATTATATACAATGAGTAGCCATTCACAAATGGATTTATTTACACAAGATAAGACAATAACATACAGGCTAAACCTGGTCATTCCATCAAAACTCCGGAGTCATGGACCTAGTCACATTTATTTACAAATGGAGTGACAGATCCTTCAGCTGGCACTCCTAGTTCTAGGGGAAAAAAAAACTGCACACACTTTACAGAATCAATATCAACAAAAATTTAGAACAGTACTGTTCTTCTGCCAGAATCTCTCTCTTCAAAAGTATAGTTCAACTATAGGGCTTGCTACCTCGCATAAGCAATGAATTTTTCATCTCCCTGTAACCTTGGAACTCTTCCAATGCCTCGGCGGTTGTTTTCTTAGTTAAGAACCCAGAAGATATCATGCTCGCTGGAATTGGTGACTCTAGGATGTTATTGTCCTCTGTAGTGTTTATGCTATATCTTTGAGGACTAGAACCTTCAGAGAACTCTTCTGAAGTGCAGGAGTCTTGACGGAGAGGTGGTGCTTTTTTCAGCATATGCACAAGGGCACCAACAGCAGCATCTTGAGACTTTCTTATAGGATATAATCCTCCAGTTTCAAGCATGTCACCCATACAACCATGATCAGAAGATTCCAGCCTAGCATATGATCAATAAGCCAAATAAATATTGATGTATAACAGATGGAAAATAAAAATGGGGAAATTATTGTCACAACCAACTGAACAAAATCTAGCAACCGTACCCAGATTTTATATTAACGTATTGACAGGAACAATCTCTCAAAGTTGACTAATCACCAAAAACAACAACTATTTGAAATGTCAATTAACACTTAACTGGGAAAATATGTTCACCTGGGGACCCGCCCCATGATTCACTTCCTAGCACTTTTTCTCAAGAAAGGAATGCTTTTATTTCCCTTTACATACCATATCAAATGAAGTAATTACAATTTCCAACTGTAAAAATAATGACATACGGTCAGGATATTTCCTTTACTCCCTTGCTAATTGCTATCATCCTAACTGATGTCTGTCGCTTTCAATCATCTCTGAAACCAAATTTCAACAATTTCATATCTGACTAAGAGAATTCTCATTATCCTTAACATAATGACCAAGCAAGCAACAAGGTATGAAAAAATTTCCAAATTGCAACTCCTACGCACATATGATAGATACAGAAGACAAGGCTACTCTGAAAAGTAATAAAACTGTTCCTTCTAATTAAATAATAAAACATCATGTTCTACCAATAGGGATCACATTTCAGTATTTCACCACCCTCACTCATCTTTCAGCCACTAATGGGGAGGAGATCTCCAAGGACATTAACTACTAATTAAAAGGGACCATTTCACATCTGATCAGCAAGAACCCTTTCTGATGAGATCCTGAGGCTCCTACTCCACATAGTCTAGGTGATATAAAGCTAGCAGTTCAAGATTGATAGAGATACAAATCATTTGCTCGAATCCAATGATGTGGGTGATCGTTGAATTTATTTCTTCTATTCTAACACACCATACAATAATGAAGTATAATCACGAAACAAGAGTCCCTCTCCCCTCAAATTGATTACCTTCTACTACAAATTGATTTTATTAAGCAGCCAGCAGTTGAACTTGATTATTAGTAGCATATCTCATATAGCATAGATAAAGTGATGGACTGCAAAAGCTCACATATAATGTGCAACTCAATCCCCCAAAACTCAATACACTAGACTTTCCCTGAGCAGAAAGAAACCGTGACCTTCCATCAAGAACTCAAAACTATAAGAAGTGTATCTCTTATAACATAGGAGTTTATTGCTCGCATATGATATGCCCATCATTCCACCCACACCTAATGTTGTAGACTCAACCCAACCAGAAGCAAGCCATGACCTTCCAGTAGGACAGAAGTACTATTAGTCAACCTCACTTGATGAAGAACGTACCAAATAGAGGAAAGGTAACACCTATAGTAAATTTTCATTTTCAAGCAGTTACTTTATTTTCTTTAGCTCTGAAAACTACCAAAGGAAGCATTAATTAACAAAGCAGAAACGTGATTCATTAGGTCAGCATATACAAAGAAGTAACGTGGACAGTATTCATCCCAACAAAATTTCTGTCAAGACGTACCTGCTACTTGGATCTATCATATCAACATCATCCACATCAAAAGGACAGGTGAAATCAGGGTCCTCATAATCATCCTGATAAGACCTACTGGAGCTCCTGGAAAATGAAATCTGCGGCAAGGCTTGGGATGCTGTCAGTCCAAAAGACTTTTTTGACTCATCTCTTCCAAGAGAAAACAGCTAGAAAAAATCAAAACACACCATGAACAAATCAAATATGTTTAGGCAACAAATAAAAAATAAAAATTTCTTTGCAGTTAGTGCAACAGATACCTTCTCAGCTGTTCCACCATATTGTATTATGTTCACACCTCTATCCATCTTAGATGGAGATGAAAGCAAGTCGTGTCTATTGACAGTTTCAGGCAAATTGGCAACATTAGCAGTGGGAATGGTGACTGGAGCACTTTCAGAACGTAAGAGTGCCCTTGAATGTGATGACCCATGACTATAGATTGGAGGTGATGGGGAGGGAGATGGGGACATGATTGGCGAGGGATAATACTCATCAAAAGTTTTATTTTTCTGAACAAGAGACATCTCAGACGGATGAGGAGGCAAACTTGAGGGTGAAAAACGGCTAGAAGTTGCATTAAAAACTGTCATGCGTGGTTCTGAATGTGTTGGTGAAGGTGAGGGAACCATAGAAGGTGGTGAAGCTCTACAACGGTCAAAACTCCTACTATGCCGCCTTGAAAATGGCAATGGAGATAGAGAGCAATGTGATGGCAATCCCGTCACAGGGAGTGATGGAAACCTCCTCAAAGGATCAGCCAATGGACTCCCAATATAATCAGTTATAACTCGAGGAGATATAGGAGTTGATGGTTCGAAGCTTACATCCAAGACAGATGGGCAATACTTGACTAAAATGCAGAGCCGACCACAAGAAGTATCAACAGGAGTGAATCCAAATTTCAGCATTTCGGCCTCTACTTTACGGGTGAAAGGCTCGGCAAAAGAAGATACTCGATGAAAAAGGGTAAAAGTGCGAATTTGTCCAGATAAATTAACATCTCTGAAAATCTTATAAGCGGGTAGAAGTCTAACACTAGCATAAAGAGACCTCAAAAGTAATGTCAATTTCTTATACAGGCCATGCAGCGAAATGCTGCTCGACCTCCTACTGCTTGAATTTGACTCCCTGGCCTTTCTGCTCTCATATTGAAGCACCCATCTCTCTACAATCTTCTCACTCTTTGCCTCAACTCCCAATTCTTCCTGATCAGCATTCCATCCTTCTTTCAAGGAAGAATTCCTTTGGAGATCCCTTTTTGGGGAAAGACTCATAGGGTCCCAGTCCAGGGGCTTCTGCATTAAAATCACATCCACCACTATAGGTTCTAGATTGCTCTGACGCCAGAGGTCAATGTTTTCCAATGCTGCCGGGCATTCCCGGAGCGCCAAATTGAACCATTTATCCCTTGGTCGAACACTCGGCGATGATGATGGTGATGAAGAAGAAGATGGAGATGTCACGGTTGGATCACCACTGGAATTGCGTGACGACACATAAAGTGCCCTTGATTCGAGGATTATGTGTAGACTTTTGGCGAAGAACTCGGTGATTATTTGTTCCATCTTTGCCGCTTCCGAGTGAGCATTACTTTGAGATGATGCCATCTCTCAGATTTCTACTGCAATTGCAGAAAAAGAGCTTTTCTTTTTTAATTTAGAATATAAAAACAGAAGTCCAATTGCTGCCGCTAACAATCCCAATGGGAGCGCTTCAAGTATAACACGCACATACATGTATAATTGAAGCTTTGATGCAGAGGGATGGCATACACACACGCCCGATGATTGTCAAACCCAACCCAGCTAAAAATCAGCAACACACACTTTACAGACACTCCATGAACGGGATTGATTCTGGGTTAAACTATCTAGCAATTGGCAGCGGTTATACAGTTTAATAGAGAAAACCTAAGCTTATTCAGCCAAAAAAATATTTAGTTCACCAGGAGAAGGATTGCCATATTGGATAATTTTGAGTTTCAAATTAATATAGTCCAGAAACAGAATAGAAGTATGAACGTGTTATCGGTCGGGAAGGATGAGGCACGTTGTTGAGGTAGATGGAAAGAGTAAGAAGTAAAGGAAGAGAAAAAAGAAATTACCCGATAGGCTATGGAAGCCGAGGGAGAGCGGGAAGCCATTAGCTAGATTAGCTTCTATATTGCGTGCAGAACAAGCATGAAGGGGAAGACACCGTCGTCGAGTTAAAATGAAAGTATTGTCGCTCCGAGTATTCATGAATCGCACGAAATCCGGAGACAATCGAAGGAACGGCTAAACAGTGGGGCCAGTTGGCAGAGGTTGTTTGTTCCCTGAAACTGGCCGTAATAAATGAAGCTAAGCATGCACCCCACGGTCTCTTATCCGTCTTGGTTACCTTGTAGGCCTGTCTAATTCAAGACCCAATTCAATTGAAGGGGAAAAGATGATCCATGCTTTTGGTAATTAAATAACTGATTTATACAGAATATCAACATCGCGTTATTTAAGAGAAAAAGAATATCAATATTACTATATATATATATATAATAATATAATATATTAATATATATAATAAAATGTTCCTCTCAAATCGTATTACCTATGAGTTGTAAAATGTGCTGTGCATTTTTAAAATTCTGTATAACATGTGAAATATAAAATGTAACATAATTTTATATGATTTATGATAATTATAATTATAATTATAAATTATGTGTGTTGACTAATGACTGGTAAACACCTTTTTTAAGTGTTGAATTTATTTATGTGGACATGGCATGTCATTCAGTTTTTCGTTGTCAGTGGAGGTTGCATTCTATAGAAACTGGCATAAGACAATTTCGCGTACTTAACCAGTACCAAAATAATATTATGAAGTAGGAATTGCAATGATCGTGGCACAGCGCTCATATAAACACCCTTTATGTTATTTTTTAAGTTTATATAGCATCCGGATGTTTCATTTTCTCATGTTCAGATATAGCATATTTTTAACGAGTAAAGAGAAAGGGTCAAACAATTGTGTTCTGAACTAAATTTCTTATATTTATTTTTTCGCCTGTTCAGTAGACGAGTAATATGGGAAATTGTAACTATACAAACTTAATATTTCATTTACATTTCTATCATTCCTTTTATTATATTTCTGTTTATTATAACCAAAAAAAATCCCTACGCGCTACACATAATAATAATATTAATAACGTATATTGAGAAAGCTCATGCCACATTAATTGCAAGTATAATGCACTTGCTATGTAAATAACAATAAAAATGCAGGAAAGAATAATTCAAAACAAAGGAGTTTTTTTTTTTTTTTTTGGGTTGGGGAGAGGCGAGGGATGTGATGTTTAAAAAATGAATCATGGGCCAACAAAGACATACATAGCCCGTCTCCTGCCTTCGGATTGTGTATCTGACACATTAGGCCATGTCCAATTGATGCCGATGGTGAGTTCATTGTTCTGATTCGTCGTATGGTACTTGGGCCTATGGCCCATTATGTTATAGCCGTGGGCTCGAAGGCTTCAATGATCGAGAAGCAGGAAGTGCCGCAGTGGAGGCTTTTAGCACCCAAAAAAATGAACAGCACGGGGCCTCACCCTACAGTCCTAATCAAGACGAATAATTAAAAAGAGAAGTGGCCCGATTGGATCACACAAAATCACTAAAGCATGGATCGTAAAAGAAAGCGTCACAGGAATACAGGATAATGCGAAGCAGGTTTTCACTCTAGAACTTCGCTGTCCTTTTTTTTTTTTTTTTTGGTGGGGGATAAACTCGCTGTCTTTCTATATACCGTCAAGCGACACCGCTCCGTCTTTTTATTATTGATTAACTAATTAAAAATGTGATCGCGACACATCATCGATACACAGATTTTTTTTCCGCAAAAAAAAAAAATTGTGGATATTTGATGTGGGATGATGAATTTCCAGTCGTTTAATGGCAATTGTTGTATGATGCGAACAAATCCAGGGACCTTATTTAATTCCGAAGTCGGTGGGCTCTTGCGATCATCAACCAGGTCGAAGGAAAAGAGCGGCATGATACTAGTTTAACGTTATCCAAAACAAGGACGACAACACATTTTCTTTTACTGTTGACACTATTGGGCATTATAAAATATTCATGGATATTTTAAAATAAAATATTATAATTTAATATTATTGATTATTATAAACTCCTGCTTAAATTTATTTATTCAGAAAACGAATTTCTAAATGAGATTAAAGTAGTTTTATTGTTTATTTTTTATGTCATTGCCTATGACATGCTTTTAGAGAGTTAAAAGGATGGATTTTTTCTCCTCCTTTCTCAATGCTTCATCAATGTTGATATTTTCTGAGTTATTTTGAAAATTTTCATTGCTCTGTGTCCCTCTTCATTTTGCAAAAAGTGTTTATTTAACCTTGAAGAGTTACCGTGTGATCAATCCAGTATAACAAAATAGTTTTTAAGTATAGTGTTCTTGGGCACGACTTAGACTGTGATTTTACCTATTAGTTCCAAGAGCTAATTCCTCCGCTATTGTTTTATTGATGTGATTCTCATATTCTGGGAGTCACTGCCATTACAAGCATCAGGAACTGCTGCTCTGTTTTGATACAAGTACACAAATTTTTGGTAGCAGCATTTCAATAAGCCTAATCTTAAACTCGTAATCATTGCTTTATCTTCTCGGTCTTATTTTAACAAATATAAAAAAGATGCGGGGCATTAGCTGCTTGTTTATAATATTTCTTAAAGCAATAAGGTTGAGCCAATAGACAACTGAATATATTACAATATAGTATGGGCTTTAAAATTCTGTCATTAAGAAAGTATTATAAAATTTGATTAGAATTTATGATATGATTCAAATATTTAAAACATCACATATGTTTGATTGGTTATGATATACATATGTGCTTATCATAAAGTATAAAACGGTGGTTAATCTTGTACTTATAATCTGAAATTTATTGTACCAAGATGGATGTGTCATGCTCATGACGTTCCGCTAATTTTGTGGCAATTTAGCATTTGGCCATATATAACAACAAGAAATGCAATATATCTTAAATGTATATAAACTATCCAATTCAAAAATCTCGCTTCATTTTTGTATGTCATGCATTGAATTTTCTTTTAATGCGTGATTCTGATCTGATATATGCATGCATGTATGTATTCTCTTAATTATATCTATGGAGAAAGAGGATTAAATATATAGTACCCATAACTAATGTTGATTCAAATTGGTGGTAGATATGAATCCAATAAAAGGATGTTAAGGCTACAGGTGGCTATGAGTTCGATGATATGTGAACAAACTTGGATGCTTGGACGCATATGAGCAAGCATATGTTAAGATAGGTAATGGTAAATATGAACATCAACAGTATTAAATTTATCCCACGGTCAGAACTCACTTAAGACCTTTAATAATTGTCCATTTGAGTGGTATGTACTCAAGCACAAGTATCACATGCTATTGACACCGGTTACAATTTAAGCAAAGTGATGGGCATTTGTGATCTACTTTCAAAATGTTGAAGTCTTCAAAATGTCTTGGTGATGTTGCAATTAAGCCATCTCTAATTTATGATTTAGAAATAGTATGTTTCATGTACTTGACTGTGTTTTTCTCATTTTTAAAAGTGTTGAGGAGAATATGTTTAGACGTGGCCCAACCTGGTTTATTATGGTGCATTTAAATTTTTTTGCAATGATACGAGTTTTTTAATGGGATGAATATTGGAGGTAGTTGGTTGATATTGGCATATTGTTGATTATATTTCTGCAGCAATAGACTACTTGAATTTTGTGTTCATAATAACGAATGAATATGGAGTTGGAGTTTTAGCCTTGTCTTTGGCTTGTGGTTTTAATTTGGCTATATCTACCATCGATCCGTAATAAAAATTTATTATGATAAACTAACATTTACATTGAATTACAAACTGTTATCGTTTTTTGCAAATTTTTTTGTAGGAGTTTTATGAAATTGTTATTTTGCTTGCTACCTTTCAAAGTGATAATGTTATTATATGCCATAGATATAGCGTATGTGTTGGAATGAACGGAAACGTTGGGCTTGACTAATGAAATGTGGCATAGAGCAATGGTCCATGAATTGCATTGATGGAAATATATTTTGAAAACATTCTATCAGGTCATTTGAATTGTTTTTTAATTTTATGATTTATACGATGAAGTTATAAGATATGAGACAAGTCAAAATGATATTTCATATAGGACATGATTGATTTCTTCGTTGGGCTTATCACTCATATCTGTTAACGTTGGTCTCATTGTTGGCATGACCCGAGAGTGTCACAATTGAGATTAGTACCTTTGTTTAAGGAATTAGTGTATGCACTAACATATAAATATTTTGAAAGGGTAGAATTTGGTGTGCATACGTTTTGTGCTCATGGTGAATTTAAAATTATGAAAATTTTTAATTTTATTAGAATTGTTTAAGGTATAAAATATTTTTCATATGATTGAAATATTTTAAAGTATTAGAGTGTCTAGCAAAAATTATTTTGCTTTATCCTAAAAAGTGTGTTGTGTCAATTTTTTAGCTTTATTTTATAAATGCCGACATGTTTTAGTGTTGTAACTTAGAGAGTTAAATTAATTAAGAGGAGACTATTATTTGAATGAGGGTAAAGTTTCAAATCTTGTGTGGCTTGAACAAACATTATGAAGGTGGCACAAAATTAATCGTTTATCTAGCATAAATAAATGTATTTTGAAATAGGAGCATGACTTATTTAATTATCTTGGCATGAACATTTCTTATTGTGTTTATGAATAACGATGTGTTATGGTCCATACGAGATAAATAGAATATTTTTAAATTATGAGATTGTGAATAGTGAATCCCCCTATATGAAATGCACAAATGTTAATTGAATTATATATTCATGTGAAAAGATCCACTAGTGATTATTTACCCTTAATAGTAATGGAAGCAAATGTAATAACAGGAGCATAGAGTTTATTACTTTAAAATTGGAGGTTAGATTGTGAAAAATCTCTTTAGCAATTATTTTGGCGTAAATGGGACACTTAATGTCAATGAGCATTTCCATGATACAAACAAGTTATCAAACAAAATTAAAATCGAGATGATTTTATTGCCCAATATATGTATGTATGTATATATGTATGTATGTATGAACAAATTTTAGAGAGTTTATTACATTAATTAATGTTAATCTCATTGTATAGTTATGTTGTGTGAAAATTAAGCATATCAAGTAGTCTCATAAGAGAATGAGACAAACAAGCATTTGAGAGATATCATAAATGTTGGTGTAATATATAATGAATTTTCATTATATTAAATTTATTTAATGATGTAAATTGAGTTTTTCAAATGAGGAAAAATTCATTTATAGCTAAAGAAAATATTATGTAAGCTAGAGTATATTGCTCAAAAGTTAGTTAGTAATAAAGTTAAGTAGTTGAAAAACTTTTTAATGAATAATATTACATTGAGAAAAAAACTGACACATATTATGTCGATGATTTGTGCAATAATCAAATGGTGATAGTCATTGCAAAGAGAACAATGACATGAGTAGATATCATTTGAAGTGCAATTAAGCATGCTGAAAGAGAGAGCTATCTCAATTGATTATGTAGAAATAGATGTAAATCTGATAGATTCGTTAACTAACATTTAGGGAAGAAATTAACTATTAAAATGTCGAGGAGAGTAGGACTTAAGACTATTTGAAATTGACAGTGATGACAACCCAACCTTTGTGATTAAAGATCCTATGAAGAAGATTCAATAGGTAAGAACAATTCATTTATTAATTCTGTTAGCACTAATTTTTTTTTGTCCCTTGCTATAACTTGGGAAAATGTGAGAATGCATTGATCGAAAGCTGAGCGAAAGCTTTTAATGGTTTTCATAGTCATTTTGGATTATATATTCATTACATATACACTTGATAAAATCACCTATACAAATGTGGAGTGGAGCCGTTCCTTTAAGATCGTGATAAAATCTTTAAAGCATTTGTTAAAACTAAGCCCACACATGTTGATAACGAGCAAAACTTTCGTTAACAACAAAAATTGTGAGGGTATAATTCGACCAATAGGACCTTTAGTATATGACGAAGATCAGTTGGTTCAATAATAAAGTTACACAAGTTTTTTCGTGTGCTAAGTTTTATTGATCTAGGTTTGGTTCAAGTTGAAAGATACCAAATTTGAAATGATTATCTTTTATGTGAATAACTCAAATGATAGTAGTCTTTTTGACACATGCGAGGGTTTGTTTCAATTGTATCAAAAAGGAAAGCCCTATGTTGCTCAAATGAATATTGGCCTTATAATAAGTGTGAACTTGGGCTAGTAAATGAGTTTAAAAGAAAAGTGAGCTCATGTGTACAACTATGTGCAGCTAGGTAGATGTGGTGTTAGGCAATTTTTTAAAATTTTAAAAACTATTTTGTGGAGTTACAAAATTATTTGCATAAAATAATTTTCTAAAAATTTTACCTTCCTTTTGAAATATGTAAAGGATTGTTAGACATCATAAGATATTCATGGGTATGTTAATATTAATTATTACTATAACCCCCTATTTAAATCTATTTATTTAGCTTGATTATTTTTGTAACAGATTTCTAAATGTGATTTAAGAAAGTTTTATTACTCAATTTTTTTATGTCATTGCCTATGACATGCTTTTGGAGAGTTGAAAATATGGGCTTTTTTTCCTCCTTGCTCAATATTTTATAAGTGTTGGTATTACCTGAGTTATTACGAGAATTTTCACTATTTTGTGTCCCTCTTCATTTTATAGGAAGAGTTTATTTAATTCTATAGAACTGCCACGCAATCAATTCAAATGATAGAATGGCTTTTAAGAATAATGTACTTGGACATGATTTAAACTATGATTTTATCAACCGATTCCAACAGGGACATCAAACAGCAACACTAAAATACCGCACAACTCGTCTCTTTTCATCAAGTGGCCCCGCAGAACAACAAAACCATAGTGAGATCCAACCCAACAAGATATGGATCCAAAGGATAGGATTCTCCTTTGTTTGCAAAGCAAAAAAAGAAGAGATGGCTCTATCCTGGATCTCTCGGACAGTTACCAGTTGCTGCCATCCACTTCCCTCGTCAAATATTCAACGATTTAGAAAGACCCTCTTGTCTCCTGCCTTCCCTCCTCTCGAGCTTATAATATCCGCCTACTCGGTTATTAAAGCCAAAAAGTGATTGTGCATACAATGGCAGAATCAGATTGCGGATCGATTTTAACCTAAACATGTTGCCAGTTGGATGTATCATTGATCGGTCTTTATCATCATACGTGCGACTCTCACGCTTTCATTGTTGGCCACAGGAGATTGTGATCCAGCTACTTGCTTCCTGTGAAGTGGCGCGGCAAGGATTTGGGACCCTTTTCCACTTCCTCATCATACTACATACCAAGGCACGGTATCTCAGAACTATAATCAAATTAATTAATGAATCTAGAGCACGAGTTTTTGAGGTGAATGGGTTTCAACGTGACACTCCCTCAAATAACATACTATTTCCTCCTTTCGAGTTCTTCCGTTATCTGGAATTGGAACATGGAAGAGGGATGTTCATGTGAAAGAGGCCCACTTGGCTGCAACACAGGAAGGGAAATTAAAAAGATCTCGTATTTTGGGGGGGCTTTCTCAATGGGCTCTATCCTGTGGGCAAAGGACAGACAATCCTCGTTGGCTCTAGCGTTTCATTGGACTTGAAAAGATAAATCAACTTTTCGAGGGTGGGAACTTGGAAGTAATATGCATCACGATTATCAGGAAGCTTCCCTGTTGCTTCTCCGGTTCGCGGGTCCCATGAAGCGGCCACGAGGTACGTCCTGCTGAGTGTAAAGTGGGATTGAGAATGGACCCCTCACCCCTCTCTGATCAGAAAGGCAATTATTACAAAAGCCACGGCCAGTGGATCATCCATATGCCTGCAAATCTATCTCTTGTCAACAATGACAAGGATGATACCAATTCTATAATAGTTTATCACTACTCTATATAATCCCCTGAAGCAACCACCCCCCGAAGAAAGTTACCAATAACTAACTCCTCCAACCTCTTCCACAAACCATGCATGCTTCTTCTTCTTCCTCTACCTCGCTGCTTCTCCAGAATCTTCTTGGGGATTTCCATTCAAGAAGGTTGCTCCTTCTCCACAACCCGCTTAACTCACAGGCCAGCCCTCCGGCTTCCTTAAACACCCGCAATTCGACAGACAACTACCTCGGGAGTGGCAACTTCGATGCAAATGTTGTTATGGTGCTCTCCGTGTTACTGTGTGCTCTTCTTTGCTCTCTGGGCTTGAACTCCATCATAAGGTGTGCCCTGAGGTGTTCCGATCTGGTGGTTAGCTTCGAGTCCGGGAGCAATAACCCTCCGGCTCGATTGGCCAACACTGGATTGAAGAAGAAGGCTCTCAAGACTTTCCCCACCGTAAACTATTCTGCCGAGCTGAAGCTTCCGGGTTTGGACACGGAGTGCGTGATATGCTTGTCAGAGTTCACCAATGGCGAACGTGTCAGGATTTTGCCAAAGTGCAACCATGGCTTCCATGTGAAATGCATTGACAAGTGGCTGAGTTCCCACTCGTCCTGTCCCAAGTGCAGACAGTGCCTGGTTCAAACTTGCCAGAAGATTGTCGGATGCACCACCCAGGCTAGCTCGTCCCACCAACCCGAAACCATTGTCACGATCGCGCCGCTCGATCCAGAAGGTCTGGTTCGTAACTACAGGGAAGTGAGCACTTAATTCAGTGGTAATTGGTCAATGTGTGTATAGTGTTAAACTTCTGAGTCTGTTTTCCTTTTTCTTTTTTCGTTTGATCCCTAAATGTACAGAGCTAGTTCCGAATGTAGCTGCATTCTTTTTCAATAGTAAATTACCTGGAGCAAAAATCTATGATTTGTTTATTCAATAAATTACAAGGGTCAACGAAGCAAATATAAGGATGCTGAGCAGACACTCACTATAATAAGTAGTATAATTTCATGTGAACTAATGAGGTTGATTGGTCATGCCCCCGTTAATGACAACATTATAATATTCGGGGTTAAAAGAGTCGTGCGGAACTGGGAATGAGAGGCCATGCATGACCGCAAAAGTTGTAGGACAGGGCATTTTAAACATATAAAAATCAGTACCATGCAATGAAGCAAATTCTTTCTTAAAATAATGGCGAGAAAAAATAAGATTAGCGTGGAAGGGTTGAGATTGGTGCTCGTATCAATATAATATCCTGATCCACCCTAGATTGCCAACAACGTGTGAGAAACAAGAGGAAAAGAAAATGTTAAAAGTGGCAAACTTTATCTTGTGAATGGAGCATATGAATGAATAATGGAAGCTGAGACTGAAAACCACTAATCACTTTCAAGTTTCAAATCATGGAAGAGAATTAGAAGGGAAATGTAGCAACATAGCTCTCACACGTTGTTTGATCGGCAGCACTGGGCAAGGTGCGTATCATTGATCCCATGGTGGCTGATGCATCAGGCAGAAGAGATCAAGGCATAATTAATATGGTATGGTTACTGTGCGTGCGTGGGACAGTGAAGCAGAGCATTAGCGTTGAAAGCAAATTGTGAGGATGTTGTTGCAGCAACCGCGCGAGCGAATCAGAGGGATAAACTATAAAAGTATGGCCATAATAGAAGAGAGAGATGTGCGAGAAAAAGCAAATGCTTATTGAATTCACGGCTCAAATGATGTACTTTTGGTTTGCCCGCGGGGGGTAAAATATGAATATTCCTTTCGGACTTATCCTATAATATGGAGGCTAAAGTGATGACGGCTCCAACTCACTTGTGGTTGATACTTTTCATAACAACCACACAAGAATGAAATCAATATTAATGATCCTGAATTCGCACTCCTTTTCCCTTTCCCACTTTCAATAGTTAATTCAGAATCACGTACTGTTTAACCCAGGTCCGAATATAATAAATTGGGAACAATTCGGGCTCTGATCTATATTTCTCATTCTCTCAGATTGGTATTGGCCCGTTCTCTACGGTGTGCCTTGAAATTATTATTATTATTATTTTAAAGAACTATCTTCTTCGGTTGACCCGGGTCGGAATGAACATGCTTTGTATACTAAAAGAGAAAACTAAATCCCACTCTTAGCGAATCTGCCATACCCAAATGCCATCCATGACTTTTTGATACTTTTAGCAATTACAGGCAGGGAATGGGAGGTTGGGAATAATGTTAAAAAAACGAGGATCATATCAAATTTCAGAAAAGTACGGACGCTGGAAAAAGCGGTAAAGTGACCGGAAAAATCACTGGACAAGGGAAATATGTTGATGAATAAAAGAAATATTGATGCATTGAGATCCTTGACAACCTATGGGGCACGTAATTCGTCCAAACACAAACAGGAAGTTTTAGCATCGGATAAGGTGCTGTCGACCACATGCACAGGTGAACACGGGCATAGAGTGTGTGTCATTGATAGAATCATAGAAATCATGAACTCGAAGAACGCCATGACTGGGGCGAATATAAAAGCACAGTAGCATGTTTTGTACGCGAAAAAAATAAGAAAAATGTATACGTTTTTAAAGGCTTAAATGGCAAGATAGGATGTATTCAGTAGGGAGTGAAAATAAAACGGCGAGAGGTCTAATGAAAAGCTCATCCTGACAATGACCAATACATCCAAGGGCTTATCTGAGTTATGTGGATCTCGTGTGAGTATATCCTCTAAGTTGCTTGCAAAGTCGCCGGGGAGCTCGTTTAAGCATCTGAAGACCGAGAGTAAGATCATTAGGATGTTTGAAGGTTTAATAATTTTCCTCTACTCTTTAATTTTATGTGTGATTCATATTCGTAACTGAATTTTTTTAAAAAAAATATTTGTAACTACTTCCATTGCGTGTTTCTAAATCTCCTCTTTTAAGGGTAGTAGTATAGCGCAATTGGGATACTAGCTCTTCTCCTTTATTGACTTCTTTAAGTCTCGTTTGGTATAATTGAATGGTTTTTTATGAAATTGGAATCGAAATCAAAATTAAAATTGAAATTAGAATTGAAATAGAATTGGATTACAAAAATATGTTTGGTATGTCAAAAAAATTAGATAGAATCCTTATATTATTTTTGTTTGGTACATAAGACATGAAAATGAAATTATACTTAAAAGACAAAAATACCCCTATATAGAAATTAAAATAAAACATAATAAAAGCTTAATTGTGTTTTAATTTTCTTATGTATTTTATATATTAATGAAATATTATATAGATGATAGATATTATATATAAGTAAAATATTTTACAAAAAATATTTTAATTTCCTCAGATGTTTAGTATATAAATAAAATATTAGATAGATGATAAATATTATATATAAGTAAAATATTTATAGAAGAAATATTATAAATACATATATCGTATTATATTTTACACGTACACACATATATTATAATTAGGTGTGGTCATTTTTGGGTGTGTTTAGGGTTATATGTTTTTAGGGTAAAATTTTCTTTCTATAATTTTTATGAGGGTAAAAGTGTCTTAAAAGTCACAATTCTATGGAATTGTCCTTGATTCCATAGCTTTAAACAAAGAATCCAATTCAACCTATTTTCATGGAATTGAAATTCTTAAAAATTATGATTCATGTCTACCAAACATCACTTTATTCAAATTTTTTTTTCAATTTTATTTCCATCTCTATAATTCTAGTCTACCAAACATGACCTCAGGGATCTGGGTTCATGCAACTGTGTGCAGGGGGCCAACCTAAGTATAGCTAAGGGGGGCCATGCCCCTCGGCGAGGTCCAGCTTGGTCCATATAATAGGAGTGGATTGCCATGCCAGTGAAATTCATATGCACGTGCATGCACAAATGCTTGTATGAATATATAATATATTATACATTAAATACATTCCCTCTCTTATTTTCAATGATTAATGAGTAAATAGTATCCTAAACTTTTATTCAAAAATTATTTTAAATCTTAAACTTTTAAAATATACAAAATAAATCCTCAAATTTTAAATTCGTAGCAAAATAAATCCTGATTGTTAATTTTTTTAACACCGTTACTGTTTATGCGGGGGTATTGTACACATGAGCTCTAGTTAATGCTAACATGTCATTGTGAATTAGCGCCACAAACCCTAAACTATTATATTAGTAGCATTTTAAACTCTGAACTATTATGTTAGTAGCGTTCTCGACCTTGAACTTTAAAATTTTGAACAAATTACCCCCACCATTTATGTATAAAATGTTGACTATTATATAATCAAATTATCCTCAACATGGTTCGCTGTGGTGAATACATCGTTGGTCGTAGTGGACAACCAATAAATTTGTAAAATGATATTTTTTGCCCCTTGTTTTGTAATGTTTTTCAAACGATTAGTATCTGATACTTCCGTAAACTTTATAACTTTAATTTAATATTATTTTGAATAATATTGTTTTATTTAATGGTAAAAACTTGAGATCCTATTTGAAATTAAGTTTAAATATTTGATAAATTTGATTAGCCAATTAATTTAAGTTTTAAATTCATTAATGAAACCATCGACTTTTGCATCCATTTTCTGTAAAATTCGATGATACTTAAACTTCTTCTCAAATGGGATTCCAAATTTTCAATATTAAATAAATAAATATTATTTAAAATAAGGCTAAATTAGAATTATAAAGTATACAGAAGCATGAGATACCAATTATTTGAAAAACATTGTAAAAAAAGAGGCAAAAAATGTCATTTCACAAAATTATAGGTCATTCATTACGGCCAATGATAATTCATCACAGCGAACTATGTTGAGGCTAATTTAATTTACATAATAGTCAACATTCTGTATATAGATGGTGGGGATAATTTACCTAAAATTTTAAAGTTTAGATTCTAAAACACTGCTAACATAATAGTTCAGGGTTCATAATGCTACTAACATAATAGTTTAGGATCTATGGCACTAATTCATAATGACATATCAACATTAACCAAGGCCCACGTGAGCAGTGCCCTACATGAACAGTAATATTGTTAAAAAAGTTAACGGTTAGGATTTATTTTGTTACGAATTTAAAAGTTGATGGTTTATTTTGTACATTTTAAAAGTTTAAGGTTTATGATGATGTATGAGCAAAAATTCAGAATCCTATTCATTCATTAATCCTATTCATAATTTATGTATTTTTATAAACATTACTTATTCAAAATATAAAAACTTTAGTAGTTCTAATTGTTTTCTTTAACTATATCCTTACTTTATTTATTTTCACTTTAAAAAAATTATTAAAAAAAATATAAAGCATTTAATAAGGGTGATAAAATTAAAAAATATATACAATTTCTTAAGATATTACATCCTCAACTAACTTTATGTTTAAAATCATGAATTTGAAATAATTATCAATATCCTATAAGTGTCGGAGGGGGTGTAAAATAAGTTATTTAAAAAACCTTGAATAAGTTTATTTTTTATTATTTAAATTGCTTATAGTATTGATCAATGTATTTTTAAGTATAATAAAATTTAAATTAATGTTTTATAATATTTTTTTAAATGATTAATTTACAAAAAAATATAAAAATACACTATATAAATATAAATTGCTCATATATTATTTATATTTTTAAAGCTAATATGTTACTTGCTCCCTTAGCTAAGATATTGAAGGGTTAAAGGTCAAAAGATGTAAGACATTTTTAGTATTTTAATGTATAATTAATTTTATTTTTCTATTTTTAAAATATTTTAATTTTTTAATATTTAATTGAGCTTAATTTAAATTATAATACTTTAATTGAGTCTTTGGCCATTTTGTGAAAAAAACTATAATCGTACGAAAAAATTAACTTGAAGATATTTTATGAGATATAAGATTTATTTTGGACATAATCTATATTAATGGGTGCAT